GGGCGGCCGGGCCGCGAGAACAAAGGCGGCGCGGGTTCTGCAGTGGGTGTGGGTGCCCGTCCTTCGCTCGGGAGGACGTCGCGTTTCCGAGGCCCCTTCTCTGGCGACTTGGAAGTTGGGGTTTGGGGACGACACGATGAAGAAGGGAAGGGGGCCGAGGAAATGAGGAAGCGGGGGCCGGGCCAGCAGGGCCCCGCCGGTCGACCCACGGGGGAGACTGACGGCTGCAGCCGCGAGCGGCGCCGCGAAGACCAAAACAATAGCGATTCTCGGCTGTTTTCGTTTTTACCGAAAAGTGAGAGGCAGCCCCATTGCGAGCCTGTGCCCGTTGTTTTCGCCGCCGCCCGGTGCGGAGCCTGGGTGGGGGCAGGGGTCGGGGACGAGGACGGGAGGTGGGCCGGGAGGCGCCCGAGGGCAGGGCCGGGGTCCCCGCGCCCCCGAGTCCCAATGAATGGCCCGGAGTCCAGGCCCCGCGACAAGATGGCGCGGCCGCCGCCGCCGTCTTTGTCAGCGCCGCGCTGTCCCCGACCCTCTCCGCGCCCCGACGGTGTTTTGGGTTCGGTGTACGTTATTCGGATGGACCGAGGGGGGTGGAGGGGAAACCACACGAGGGTTGGGTGTCCTCCTTCGGCCCTTGCGGGCTTTTGGGTGGCAGCGGGGCGAGGGTGGGGGAGGAGTCGTGCTGAAAATGCCACCTGGGTGGTGGCTGAGCCATGGGACATCTGAAAATCCTCCTGTGCTTTTCCGCGCGAATTGATAATTGATCCAAAGACTGTTCAAACATGTTTTATGTCCTTAAAATTGCATAGTTATCGTACAGAAGTGGTATTAGCTTTATCTCCCTAATTTTTAAGGAAGCTTTTCAGTTGGGATTGAGATTGACTTACTGAAGGAAGACAGCGGTGGATGAGGTTTGTCTTGGGGAGGGAGTCAGTGGACAGGTACAGTTAGCACATTATTACAGGTGTTACTGAGTGCGCATAAACATGGGGACATCGTCACCTATAGTTTGGGTTTGGGCAGCATAGTGGGGGTTTGTATTTTCGTTTTGCTATCTATGTGATAACTGACTCAAATATTGTGATTAAGAGTCGTTTATGAGGTTAATTATTAACTCAGAAAATATGTAGGTTACATTTCCTGATTAGTAAATAAACGAAAGTATTAGGTTTGTGAGAAGTTCCTTTCAACTCTAGGTACTGGGTAAGGTCTCCCAGGCGTCATCTTTGGTAAGATTTCTACGTGACTCGTTTTCTAACCTGAAGCTGTAGTCTTTTGGGAGGGGGAGGTGGAGGGTTCTTTATTTGAAAGTAAGGTTTTAGTTTGTGCTCTTAAGATAGACAGGGTCTATTCTGGGTTCGTCCAGAAGGTATATATTGCAAAAAGAAAATGAACAGGCAGTTCCTTTTTTGCTTCCTTACTAATACTGTATGTGTGGCCGGGGACAGAGCTGGTGCCACCAACATGGAAACAGGTCTAAGCGCCTCCACAGGGCAGAACTGGGTGGCAGCTGTTGGTGTGATTTATTTGACTTCGTAACGGAGCTATCCAGAAGTGGGTGTAACAACAGGGGTCCCGGGGCCCATCCAGTGGGGGGGGGGGACCCTGTGGGAGGAGGGTCCAGCTGCTCTGTGTGCTGGACTGTGGGCCTCTGGCCTCTCTGTCCTTCCTTCAGAGTCACACCGTTAGGCGCTTCTGGTTTCACAGGCATCGTAAGCGCTACAAGGTTTTCTTGGAAGATGAGAGTTGAGGAAAGCAAAGTTACATTTTATGATTGTGCCTGTGGCTCACTCCCAGTTCCTCCTGCTTGGGGGCCAGTGTCAGGGCTACCTTTCATCTGGTGGAATGGTTCAGGTGTATGCTTATAGAGGAAATTGTTCAGCCATGAAATTTTGATGTCGAATCGACATCTTAAACGAACACACCCACCAGACGAATTGATTCCTCCTGTATGTATGATATCTGAGTTCACAGAAGGTGGGTACTAAGCAGAGTGTCCTTTAACGATATCTTACTAAAGATTTCTTTTTGTTTGATATCTTGAGTTACTTCTGATTTGGGGGAGAGTTGGAAGTAAGTTTCCTTAGATTTAATTTTAATCTGAAAAGAGATTTAAAAAGACTGCCAAAAGGCTGCAGAATAATGTATTGTCTTTTTTTAAGGAGTAAAATCTCTTCTCAAGAAAATCTTTTTCATGCCTAGTGACTTTGTTATCCACTGGTCTGATTGGAAAAGTTATATGTCTACAAATAGCTTTGAGAAAGGTCTCCAGGATATCTGTAGACTTACCCACCATCAGTTGACTTTTTAGGTAATACTTTAATGAATAACACCGATTTATTTTAGACATGCAGTATTGGCGTTTATTATAGTTTTTCTTCATTGGATTGTTTTTTCTCTGCCCAAAAGATTTGGCTCATGTTGATATCTAAATTGGATTAAATTCTTACTGTGTACAGACTTTTTGGCTTTTAGCATGAGTGGATTGGTAATAGATAGTCCCAATTTTATTATCTGGGCTTGACATGTGGCATGCCATATTATTTTGAAACCCCTATTTAGTGTAATTCTAGTAAGACACTGAACCAAACTTTACAATTTTTTAAACCCTGGTATAGGTATAAATTCTGGTTTCAGGTTTGCATTCAGTGATCACAGTAGTTAGAGATAATTAAGAAGGTGTTCAGTTAAGTGTTTGGTTTAGTGAACATAGAATGAGGGGATAAAAACAAATTTAAATGAAAACTTAAATGAGAGAAATAATTTACAAAACTGAATGTGTAACGTTACTGGAAGAAGAAACAGTCCAAATATTTGTGGAGGATGTGTATGTTGAGTCATGGAACATTACATTGACTGTTCTGGAAAGGGAGTGGAATACCACTTGTTTTTAAAGCTATGAGTTTTGTTCCAGAACTCTCATTGAAGAAATATAGGCAGTCTGTAGACGTTTGAATTGGTCAGTGGGTCAGTGGAATGCTGAGAGCTTTTTCAAACTTGGAGGCGTCTTGTGGCGGTGCCTGTCCTTAGGAGTCACTGGGCTTTGTGGGCATGGCTGCGGGCTTCCACGATAGGGAAGCTTCCTGTTGTGGAGAGCAGGGGTGCTTTCTTTTCCTTTTTAAAAAAGACCTAGGTGAGTATTTCCTTAGTTGACTTAATAAATTAAAATTCTGGGGAAAAGCCATTTCTAAAAACTTAATTTTAAAGACCACCAAGTCAAGATTACCTAAGGTAATTTTTAAGAGATTATCCAGTTAAATCTATATTGCTTTTGAATAAAGGTCATTGTGACTTAATAAATTAGCTGCCCCAAGCTTAGTAATGTGTTTCATGAAGGAGGAAAATACTGTGTATTTATTCTTTAACCTGTCAAGACCGGCACACTAAAGGCATTGGTTGAACATACTCTTGTTTACTCGCGGCTAATTGTGTCCTCATGTGCATCTGTGTGTCTCCCGATTCAGTCCTGTGGCAGTTACACATTCCCCGTGAGGATTGCCGCTTCTCTTAACTACCTGTCCAAGGGTTGTAGCGAATAAAACTTAAAAAAATATTCTGGACACTTTGTAGTTAGACAAGAGAGTGTTGAAGCTTCTACAGCGGGTTTCCAAAAAGTTGTCGTAGGAACTCTAGGCAGTTCCTGACTTCGAGGGGAGGAGAGAGTCACTCGTTCCTGAAAGGACTGAGGATGTCCTGTGACTCGGTTCTGTCACTTGACTTGCTGGTTTGGATGTGTTTTTTGACTTCTTTGTGCCTGTTTCCTCATCTGTGAGACCGGCACCCTGGAACCTGCTTCCTAGAGCGTCTGTGATCACGGGAAGCACT